AGATGGCTTTACGTAACCACCGTATATCACTTGGGTCATTATTTTGCCGAGTGCTCTTTGCCAGCAAACAAATCTTTCTCAGTAATGAGAGAAAATGTTATTGTGGGTGAGTACTACTGGGATCCAAGAGAGCCAACTGGCTACACGAGCAGAGTTAAGCAGGTGTATCTTGCATCCTTTGCTTTAAAGAACCATCTACTAGGGTTATCGCTTGAGTTTCCCTTAAATCTAGACGTTTCTCATGTTTTAAGAAGAATTAGAAATACAAGAATTGGAGGATCTTGGTCCTAAACTTCCTGGTCCTTGGTCCTAAACTAAATTTTAGTTTGCATTGGTCTTGATATTGTATGAAGGTTGGTATTATCTGATTTGATCATCTTATCTCTCTTTAGTGCTCCAAGCAAGAATGTCTTCCACAAAGTTTCTCCAAGCAAATGTACAGTTTACAGTCACCACTGCAAAATAGCAGGAGCACAAAAATCCCCTTTTTTATCTGGAATATGAGGTCAGCCTGAACACCAACACAGAGTCACAGATTAAATGTAGTCAGGCAAGAAAGAAACAGATTTCCAAATACAGATGGTATACATTAATACTGGAAATATTTCACTTAGACGGGCTGTAAGAATAATTAGAACAATTAATTCTAATCACTTCCATTTGTATCAAACTTTTCATTCCAAAATACCCCCCTGGCCATTCTACCCCAGTAGCCCCAATGTAAAGTAGATTTAGTGAAGAAATAAAAAAATTGCATTATTGACTGAACTTCGGGGGGAACTTCAGGTAGGCCTGGGTGGAATTTAACCAGGACACAGGCTTTAATGCGTTCTCTTACAGTTCCAAGGGATCTTTAATGTTTAAGAAGCCAGAATATCTGTTTAACATCTCATCCAAAGGACCTGCAGGTTCTGTTGTGATTATAACAGTGCCACCTACTGGTCTACTACCAGCACTGCCAGCAGCAATACCACCATCTCAGTGCTGACAGGCCCAGTCTTGCTTAGCTTTTGAATTCTGATTAAAGCAGTCTACAAGGCGGCAACTTCGCTGTTGCTATTAGCAACTACCTTTGCTTCTTGTTTGCTAATTAAGAGGCAATGGAGGACCCTGGAAATGAATTGACCAGACAACCTTTTTTAACTTGTCTCATTTTCCTGAGAAATGTACTCTAAGGCCTTCCAATGGTTTCTTCACTTCAATAAACATGAAGAGTTAAGAGATGTTAATTACTGATGTGAAAGATCACCTCTCACAGTAAACTACTGGTCTAACTGGAACAAGAAGAAGTCCCCTGTTTGTGAATGTAATTCTATGCTTCCTAAACGCCTTTTTGAATATTTTAGTGACAGATTCGATCCCAAGAAGAAATAAGAAAAAAAGGTAGTAAGAGAAACCATTAATGCGTAATGTCACAGACTTTTGTATCAAAAATAAAATTTTATAATACAAAACAATATATATAATACAATATTTATAATACAAAACCAGACAAATAGTTCAAAAGTGTTTAAAGTAGAAGTGTTGTGGGTTGAGATACATTCTGTTTGTTTTTTCCTACAGCCAAACATGTGCATCCCAAAAGATCTAACAAAAGATCTATTAAAAAGTAAAATTAAATTATTTTAGCCCATCTGTTTAACCATCTCAATCTAATTTTTGCAGAATCAGGATAAAAAATGTTCTAAAGTCCTATTGTAACAAAATACAAAAACACCCAAATAGTTATTTCTCAATAACTTAGTCAATACAAAGGCTGGGGAATTTTTTTCATCGACACCAGAAGAACAAATTCCGTTCTTTATCGGATGTTTTCCAACACAGAAAAATCAGAAAAAACTCCCACTTTGCCATGAGAATTTCCACTTACATTATTGGTAGATATGTTTCCTTTTACAGAAAATGGAGATTAGTCTGTTAATGGAGCTGTTAAGGGGCATTTTGCCTTAGTTTATGAGTGTACCTTTTGTGTATACTATCTGCTAACCATGACTTTGAATATTCTGATGGAGACAAAGTGTGGGATGGAACATCATATTGAGCGGTATGGTGCCACCGTGGTAAGCATTGCTGCCTCGCAGCACTGAGGCCTTGAGTTCAATTGCTGGGGTGCTGTCTGCGTGGAGTTTGTATGTTCTCACCTGTTTGCATGGGTTTCCTCTGGGCGTTTCTTTTTCCGTACACAGTCCAAAGACATACAGGGATGATAACTGACTTCTCACACCAGGGAAAACTGGTCCTGGTGTGAGTGTGTGCGTGTGTGTGTCTGTGTGTGCCCTGTGATTGACTATTGTCCTGCCTGCTTTGCACCTGTTGCTTGTTGGGATAGGCTCTGGATCCCAAAGCAAAAATATTAGTTTTGTCTTTCTTGATCAGATACTTTTGAAGAGCACTGTATGAATCCCTAATGCTTTGAAACCAAGTTTTAGGTTTCAGAAGCCCCACTTTTTAGATGATTTTACTTACTAAACACAGAAATTAGCCTCATGTGGAAACATTTGTCAAGGACGTCTTTTTTAAAAAGAAATCAGCTTGATTTGCTTGCATGACCAGGTGCAACAGTGTCAATCTTGCCAAAATAAAGTCTCTGTCCAGTCTGAACGAAAGACCAGCCTTTGTGTGGGTTGTGCTAGTTTTGTTTGAACAAAACAAAATGTGAAATTCCTGAAACCTAAGTGAATCATCCACAATAAAAGAAAAAAAAATGCTGGAAGGTAAAAAGCTATTGAATATCACACACCGAAGCCATGATATATTTGTAACTTAACAAAGCACTTCTGAAATGAAAATCCACTTAAAAGAGAAAGATGAAACTGTTCAATGGAAAGAGGCTTGCCATTTCTGTTGACTGGTTTTATATCATATAAAACGGGTTGTGTGACACATTCTGTGCCTTTGATTTTAACATTCTTTGTTTTCTTCTCCTTCCAAGAGAAAAAGCTCACAATTATTAATACATGAGAATCATTCATTGCAGGCTATCCAGTTCTGTTTCCATAACAAGCTCATACATACTGTATGTTCAAGGAACATATTTCTTTTTAGCAGAGAGTATAGTTGCAGTTCACTGTTTTCCAGGCACTGGCTCTAAGGGTGTAGCTGAATTGAGGAACTGTGTGCATTGTCTCCGTTAACTCAATACTAAATGGCGCACAATAACATATTATTTTTGATTGACACTGGGCATTACTGGGCACAGCCAGGGAAATTTTGTAGAACATCTGTCATTTTGAAGTACTGGACCAGTCCCAATATACTGAGAGCACGTGATGGAAAAGACAAAATTATTGTTCACCATGCAAACCCGAAAAAGCCATAAAAAACGCTAGGCCCAAAAGCAAGTTGGCAAATTTGTTTGGAGCTCACCAAATGCCAGATATAGATTAGGAGTATTGTGCTGCTATGAACTGAACCAGAGTTTCAATTAGATATGACACCATTGCTTCAAATCATGCAAGAAAATGTAAGCTCCTTATTGTGCGACAGACGAGATCATTGAAAATAATTCACAGATTCACAGCGTATAACTGAAAGGTTCCAAGGGCTAAACCACAAAAGAAGTGCCAAAATGTAATTTTTCAATTGAGGCCCTTCAACTGGAAGTGAAATGCAATATTTGTGCAACACTGTTAACCGGCCTTAATTCTCTAACTCAAGAAAGAAATGTTGTGACCTGAAGCCACAGTAGGAGTGACACATCTTACAAAAGTAGCTTTTGTGAGACTGAATTGAAAGTGAATGGTAGGACAATTTAAAAGGTGACAGTTGACCTTGTGTTTTAAATGCTTATGTTCCTTGAATTCACAGACAATTTATTTTCCCTGGGGGTTATGTAGCTGTACGGCCGAGGTTAACTGCTGTAATGCTCCTGACTAGTCCACCAGGGCAAAGGTTGTTTGCCTTAGGCTAGGATACCCCAAATACAACTGCCAAGATGACAGGTTAAATAAAAGGGCCTCAGACTGACAGTAAATAATGAATGATGAGATTCCTCTCACCCTACCTCAAGGAATTCAGATGATCGATGTGAATGACAAAAATGTGTCAAATTGAATTCAGGCATCATGTGTGATCATTCAACAGTGATTGACTGTTTTGGAGAAGTGGTATCTTTCTTTCCCATAGAATATGGGTTGTAAATAATAAAGACTCATTTACAAGTACCTCCAGAAAAACCCACTACAAAAATTGATCATAACAGTGGGATAATAGCCACAGCCATTAATACACGTGGAAGAAGTTTGAAATTGACAATGGTGAGGCCAAAAATGGGTGATAAAGATTTGCTGACACCTCCATATAAAAAGCATTACAACGTTTCTCAAAACATTTAATTTGACTGCAATATGTTATGTTATAGTAAAACACTAGAGGGCAGCTTTTGGAAATTAATCCTTATTCATAATATTTTGTGCCTGACAATATTATTTAATATCTAATATTATACACCTACATATATACATTAAATGGTTTTCTTAAAATTGGTTTTATATATGGTTTACAGTCAAACTGATTTGCATTTTTATACAATTTTATCCAAACCTTTAACATTTATAGCTGGCCAGATGGTCTTTACCATTACCGGCAATTACATCTAATTTGCAAAGATTAGATTTGTAATTTAAAATGATAGTTCATTGTTTTCGATTTGTACATCTTTGGCTTACTATATTTGTAAGTATTACACTAACAAAACTAGTGATATTTTCTGACTATGATCATATGTAATATTTTCATCACAATAAACTCCAAAGTCAGAAAAGCAGCAGACAGTAAATTTGAAGACACAAAACATGTAATGGCAAAACATTACAAATCCCAAAACCTTAAGAATAATAATTCTTAGCATTTAAGGTACGTACAGTCAAAAGGCCAGCGTTAGGCCTAATATCAAACCATATGAATAAGCTGGTAACAAAATCGTTTTTCGCAATAGGAGTATTCCAGATAAAGCACCTGTAAGGGTGAATATCCTGTACCTGAACTTGACAAGCTCCGAGGTATTTAAAAAGTAATGTGTTTACATTTACAGTATCACTGCTAGTCACCTTATTAACTATTCAAGTTTATTAATATTCGATTGGATAACTGTCCACTGTCCACCCCAAATACAAACCTGACGTGTTTACAAAGTAATTGCAATGAGCTGTATCAATTTCAAGTCAATTTAAGTTTCATGACGAGCGCGCTGTGTACGTTCACGATATCGAAATCTGGGACAGATTATCAGTTACAAGGTGGTCGTTTAGTTTCTAGTAAACTTGGTAAAACTTCGCTTTGGTCTGAAAAGTTAACCACATCTAAGGGGGTAACGAGAAATCCTGTGAATCATGAATTACAGGAATGTTCCTTTAAGCTAAGAAAATGCGAAGCGACTGGGGCGGAGCCGAAATCCCCCTGTCACTCTTTGAATATTACTTACATATCTGGAGGCAAAACTCAAGTGAATGTGCGGCATGGTAGTATATGGTAGATGAAATGAGAGACATAGCAGTATCTCCTCCTCTGCACCTGGCGTTTTTGGAAAGCCTGTTACTTCAAATAAGAAAATGTGCTAGCTTGTAGTTTTCGGGAAATTCGGATAGTGGGGTTGTCAAAGATTGGATCTGTCTTCATTATTATTAGAGTGGATGAAATTGGCGAGAAGGTCAGTTGGTCTGAAGAAACGAGTTCGCTTTCTCCCGCTGGTAAAAAAAAAACTTGCCTCCACATGTCACAATAAAAAAGCGAAGTAAAATTTCGGTCCTCAAGCGAACGCATGTAAGTCTTGGTGTTTTTTAGGAAAAACGAATTGCTGGTCTCCCGTGCTTCTCAAAAGCCCTACGATGAAGCGTTGGACTTCAATTTCACTGATTGCACTTTTTGGATTATATTCTCTCGCTTCAGGTTGGTATTTTAATAATTTCTCTTGATTACTCTTGCGCAGTTGAAATAACCGTAGCATGAAACTTATTTTCCACGCCATTTAAAACATGCGCGATAACACAGACGTAGAGGTTCACAACAAAGATATGCTCGTCGTCACCAGACAATGGAACAGCCTTCGGATGTGAAGCTAACCCGGAATGATCAAACTGCGAGTTTTGTGGACTTTGTAAAATCATCATAATCTAAACTTCACAGCTTTTCATTGTCGAACAATAACTGCATGGAAAAATCTCGAAACGGTTTCTGTGTTGGGTACTGATTTGCCTTCAGCTAAGTGATTGTTTACAGTTATCATCACAAATGTAACTGTGTGTTATAACATGAATAAACAAGTTAGCCCCTTTGTTGGTATGTGATGAAGCGCATTTTACCCTGCGCTTTGAGTTTAAAGCATCCTTTGGTGAACCAGAGTCAGAAGTGTCATGGCACGCAGGATTGCACGGATGTCAATATCCGGAGGCTGTCTGGGTGTATTTTCATCCCTCTTGGAATGAATACTTCTGTCTGCATAATCCATAAGTCCGTCGTAGAGTGGTTCACTTTGAAGTTCGTATTATTATGACATGCTGTAAGTGTTTTTCTCTAACATATTTAGTAGCCAACTGCATTCAGTGCCTATAAAAGTGCACATTAAAAGTTTCTATGTCCAATTGCTTACTTTTGACAAATGTTCTGGATCCGTGAATCAACGCTAATTTAAAAAAAAACATTTAAAACAAAAACATTACATTGAAAACATCCTTCTATACAATAGCGTTGAAACCTACACGATACCAATTAAACTAATTTAAAAAATAAGAACATTTGAAGATATTTATGGCAATGAGAGTACAAATCAGTATGACAGAGAATGAAAGAATTCGAAATCGTAACACTTCAGTACCGATGAAGGTGAAAGGGAGATGCGATGGTAAAGATCAACAATGCTGTTATGGCCCGGGTTTTATTCCCTTGTGTTTCCCGTGATCAGCACGCTCTCTTTTCGCCCTTCAAGGTCTGGGCGGCGCGGGTTCGAGAGTGCCCGACAGGTGTGACAGCCGTGCTTGCAATCCCAGGATGGGGAACCTGGCCCTGGGTCGGCGGCTGCTCACGCAGTCGGTGTGCGGCTCCAACTCCACCGAGCTCTTCTGCTCCTTCTCCGAGACCGCCGACGGCTCGTGCCGCCCGCCCAAGTGCGGCAAATGCAGCGTGGCGCAGCCCCAGCACTCCCACCTGTCGGGGGCCATGGCCGACTCCTCCTTCCGCTCCCCCGGCACCTGGTGGCAGTCTGCCGGGGGAGCGCTGCAGGAGACCGTCCAGCTGGACCTGGAGACGGAGTTCTACTTCACGCACCTCATCCTGGTGTTCAGGTCTCCCCGGCCGGCGGCCATGCTGCTGGAGAGGTCGCAGGACCACGGCAGGACGTGGACGCCTTACAAATACTTCGCTACCAACTGCACAGAGACCTTCGGCTTGAAGGACGACACCGAAGTAGAAGGAGCCCAGTGCACTTCTAAATACTCGGGGCCCTACCCCTGTACCCGTGGAGAGGTAATTCGAACTTCATAGCTGTTTTTTTTCTCTTGATGATCAGTGTAAGAATAACCCATTTGCTTCTGCCAATTTCCTTTAAAAAGTTATTTCAGTGATACTGATTATGAGTCTCATCCAAAAGTTCAGATATCAGCATCAGTTATGGTTCAGATGTCAGTTCTGGAGAGCCATTGTGACCCCACAAAAACAGCAGCATCTGAAAAGCTGGGAGAAGTTAGTAAACTGGCCCATTTAAGTTAATAGTAAGGTGACTAAGTATGAGGAGCCGAGCTTTAAAATGAACCAGTCTTTCAGTGGTTTCCAGCCCTGGAGTCCTGGAGCAGGACTGTCTTCTGGTTTCTGTTCCAGAAAGTGCAGACCTATCAATTTCAGTTTTGTTTTTGGGACATATTTGTGCCTTACATTCCAGCTCTTAAAAGATCTGATAGTAATTTGTCATTGGTAACAGCCCTGTAGTGATTTCTGGGATTCAGAGCTGGTGTAATGTAAATGTAACCATCTAGACCTCTGCAGAAGAGAAAAAAAGCTGATAGTGTCATTCCTACTGGTGTCTGTTCCTCAATAATAATAATAATAATAATAATAATAATAATAATAATAA